GTGCGTTTCTACCTGGAAAGATGTTTAATTATTGCAAATGAGAACAAAAAAACCAAGCTGCATCTTAAGAACACTTTTTTTTTGTTTTGGCTATGTCTACACCAGATCAGCATTTTTTATATGTTGATGGAAGCTTTTCGTAAAACTGTGAAATTCAAAATGGAACAAAGGCCAGAAAAATGACTCTGTTGAGGGTGTGGCATGTTGCTTGAAAATGAATTTCTGTAGAAAAACCCTCATTAAACAAGACCGATTCACACAAAACCGAGAGGAAATCAAGTTGTGTAACAGAAGACCACTAGTGTAACAGTAGCTTAGCTTTTGATCTCAAAAACGGGCTTCTGCGGGTGTCTGCAGTTCACAGTCACTCTCTGAACTGGTCTGCTATGGCAGAGTCGACCAGAGTCAAGGCAGAGCGAAAATTGATTTGTATTATGATCCCTTTTGAAGATCACGCTCCTTTGTGAGAAAACATGGCGATTTAGCGGAGGCGAGCGTGAAATAGGCGAAGCAAAACACGCCGATTTTTTCGCGTAGTTCACCCTATTTTTAGGTTCAGTTTGTTTTCTCTAATTTTCTTTTAATTTGAGGAAATTTAGTCCTTTTTTGTTGTTATTGTCCGAACAACGTTAGACACGTGTTTTGTTGTGAAATGTTCTCGTGACACAATTTATATATCCAAATTTGTGTTTTTTTTGGTTTTTGATATTGTTCACAATTTTTTCTATCCTCATTTTCCCATCCGCTTCCGCCATCCTCAGGTATCCAGTCCTCGTTTTGCAGACACCTCCTTTGCTAGCCGATTTTTTGAGCTGTTTTCCTTGCCTGCAAGCCTTAGGCTAGACACTCGCAGGAGAAGTGCATCAAGTATGTGTGCATTTAAGGAGGAGGAATGGAGCGTTCTTATTTCTGTGACATTAATGAAAGGAATTACTGAGTACAAAACTGTGCCAACTATTGGCATCACGTTCTGGATGTAAGTGCAGTGAAGGGTCCAACCATGTGACAGCGGCTTGAAAGAAAGATTTCTTTCCTTAATTGTTTGTTTGTTTGTTTATTTTTTTTTTTTTTTTTTTTTTTGTTATCCGCATGTCTCTTTTTTTTTTTTCTTCTTACTTTTTTTGCTTTCCGCGTTTTTTTTTTTTCCATCCGCATTTTTCTATCCGCATTTTCCTATCCGCATCCGCCATCCGCAGGTATCCGGTCCGCGTTTTACAGACACCCGTTCAAAAGCCACCTTCACAATTGTGTTTATCGCTTCCGTCAATCATAATTACGATCAAAAGCAACGAACCTTGAAACAGCGAAACACACAAAACGGATCGAAATCCACAAATCACAAACCATGACCTTTTGAACCCGTGAAGTAGAGTTTTGTTTCCTAAGAGGTCCGTTAAGATGATTGACAGCAGCGAAAAACGCAATCGTCGGTTGGCTTCTGAACTTCGGAATTCGCATGTTTGTGAAAAGTGCGATCCTGATTTGCGGTCCACAGTCTACAAGAAAACGCACTATTTTTTCCACAAGAAGAAAAATATTCAGTTTTAATATTTTCCTCATGGTATTTTTCTCTAACTTAAAGGAATAAAATCCTTTGCATTTTGAGACCTAAAAAAGTTTAAAGACTTCTCGCTCGCATGTTTGCGTTCACCAGCACGCACTTCAAACAATGTACATAGATGAAACGATCGATAACATATTTTTTACCTAATACCGATACGAGTTAAAAATTCGCTTCAGTTCTGTTTGTCTCACCTAAGACGAACTTTTCTTCATGGAAGATAACTATGCCGCTTTATAACTCGTCCGAAGTTTTTGTGCCAGCTAAACAATCAGTGGAAACACTATTCACTTTGACTCCTTGGATATTAAAAAGACTGAACGTGACGCACTATTATGCCTTTGTTTACTTCTGATCACATCTTCAAGCGAAGTCTCTCTTTTCAAGCGATTCATCTCAATGCACAATAATTGACCCTTATATTAGTGAAAACCCTATGGTTCATTTATATTAATGCTGTTTTTGCCCCTCACATTGACTGTGTTCGTTCATATTCAAAACACCTTTTCGAAAATAAAGGTCGTATAAGTCATGTGTGTTATGTTTCGAGATAAATGGATTATACGCTTTTTTAAGTTTCCATTTTGCGGTGACTTCAGTTAACATCTTCATAAAATGGTAAAAGAAATATCAAGAAACATCATGAGAGCTAAAAAACTTTCAAAGGTATGTTTCTGAAACTCGCTAATGCTGACATCAATATAGCGTGCTTGCTGAATGGGCGAAAACACAGAATTGTGATCACAAGATCATGTACAAATTTAATGATAAAAGCTTAGCAAGATACAATACAAACAAAAGCAAACCCCCTGAAACCTTGCCTGCGTGCAGACGTCTCGTATTTCCTTTGTTTCCGCGTGCAACAAAGGAAATAGGAGACGTCTGCACGCAGGCAACCTGAAACCTCGACGTGGGCTACACTTGTATGCTCTACTCAGTCACCAAACCTTGTCAGTAATAGCTCCTATTTTCCTCAAGTCGCTCTCTGTGGAGCTCCCGGATGGGATGTTCCGGTGAAGCTTTAAACTTGTGCATTGTGCGCGAAATTCTCAGAGTCCCTATTTTTGTCCGTGTCTTCTTTATCCTCAGTATCCGAAATTTAGACCTCCAAAGTGGCGTGTGTTGCATTAAATAGAAGGAAATATTTAAAGGAAAAGCCAGTCTTCTAACATGGCAAAGTTGTCACGTCCCTCGCTCATAGACGTGCGTAGTGCCATTCATCGGCAACTGAGTTGTTCGCTTCACTGACTACGAAGGCTTACAATCAAGTCTTCAGCCATAGTGTCGTCAACTGGTGATATACCTTGCTCATAAATTGTGCTTTTTAATTGCTCATGTACTACATCGATCGATAATTCTCTCTTTGAGTTCACGAAGCGGCCACGGCGTTCCAAACCTGACGCTCACAGTCATCTTTTAGTGTGAACCTACCGTGAACAGAGTGTCGGTTTGAATGCAACGCGAGCATTTCTCTGAGTTTCCCAGCGCCAACATCATCTAACTGACTTAAACTCGGACAATAAAAAAATTATAGAGTGACTCCCATGATCGAATCGCTTCGAACAACGCAAATAGCCTTCTTCAGGTTCGAAACGCTTTGTGGGTTTTTCAGGGGGAGCGCAGACGAGGTACAAAAAGTATCCGTGCAAGGGTTCGTGCAAGAGAAACTCATATGAAACCATTTGTGAGAACATCGTTTCTCGGTACCAGACCCTCGTGTCTTCCCTCCCCCGGGAGACCACTTTTTGACACCGACGACCGAAAGCCCATTTTATGACTGGGCGCACAGGCAGCCCAGTAATAATTCCTAGTTTAAAAACAAGCTAAAACATGCTTAACTTCGTCGATGTTAACTTCACCTCGATAGTGCATGTTTAGAAGATGAAGGGCTGTTCAGGTCTGCAAATATACTCCAAATAGCAGATGTTGTCCGTCGAGTTGTCTTCTTGCTATGTTTTAGACAATAGTTCGTCGTGAAACGAGTAAAATGTTCCGCTAACTGTTCAGCCATTTTTCTTTTCATAACCAAAACAACTCGACCTCGTCCCCAGGTCTTCTCGGTTAATGGTGCATTAACCTGCAACTGTGCTGCACTTTCGACGTCCTCGGTTGATTAATCGCAGAGTTCTTCCAAATTTGGTCAACAGTAGCTGGCCATGGTGAATTATGCGTATGCCGTTAGCCAATCAGAAACAGAGAAATGTTTTGAATGAATAATTATAGCAAACCGTTAATCTTTTCAAATCATGGTTTCAATAATTATGGTATTTGAAAATAGCTTTGAGTATTCATTACTCTTGTTCTGAAAATATAGTTGAAGTACCCTTTTAAAATGTAGTTTTAATTCAAAATGTGTTTCAATTACAGGGAAAACCTGCCGAGATTAGATAACAGTTTTGAGTTCTCTATGACTATTTTGGTTTTATTCGTAAAACATAATAAAAATACCCCAAATTGAGGTAAAAATAGTTTTTAAATCATTTAATTACATTTTAACTACTTTTCAAACAATTTCAAAATACAGTTGGTTTGGAAAGGGTAGGCATGCTTTACCTGGGTTTGAGGACTAGCAAGTATCCAATAAGTGCCTAGCGAAGTTCTTACAAGGCACTTATAAGTAAAAAACACACACGACATGGAGGGACGCACTTTTTCTTAAGCAATTTATTAAGATATGAAAAGAAATGACGAGACATTTATTGGTATGCAGGAAGGCACGTAAACCGAGACAACTTACTGAGCACTTGCTAGGCCTCAATTTGAAGCAAATCATCCCTAATGACTACCACCAGCATCATCTAACGACGCTGTATCTTTTGCTTTACCAGCTTTCGAACTCAAGCAGTACAATCTGACGTGGAAACTACCCAGACAGTTTCAACATGCACCACCCCACCTGCATTTTCGACTAGAAAACTAGACTTGCGCACATGGTATTTGTTTTGATCTTTAATAGCTCAAAAATATACATTTGTGAAAAAACCCTGAAATAGCAGATGACTGATACATAAGTATGTATACTCACACATAAGTATGTATAGTATGAACTAGACAACGTTTCTCGTAGTAGTTCAGGATAGTCCTATACCTTACCAGATAGTTCTGCACTAAGCAATACGAAATACATGTAAGTAAAATGAGGTGGTCTCTCTTTGCGTTATACTGCATCCAGAGCTCCATATATCAAGCCAAGTGAGCGACTTCCTTAGAGGGTTTATTATGGTTACTACTCGAGATGTGTTAAACTGACAGGGAATGAGACTTGCCTCATAGTCAAAAGATTAACTAATTGGATTGCTCTCTCTTCCTCTTTTAAGGGGGAGACATAACTGTAGAGAATCCTGGAAAGTTGGTTATTACATCAATCACGATTATTTTAATTGAGACCGCCTCCCAAATGATAATTCTCGCGCTCTTCCTCTCTCTGTTACGCTCTATCTTACAATGGGGCGTTTAATTTGTTGACATTATCTTTTTTAAGCTGTCTGATTTTGCAAGATGTCGAAGGAGACCTACTCCCTCCGATTGGGTTTTTGATAAAGCTCTTGATAGGATCTTGGTTACCGTTGTCTTCTCGATCAGTGAGATGATCGGTTAAGTTGTTGCTTTGATAGGTGACCTTTTCCTCTCCACTGCCTCCAGTTTGATCCATGAAACATCGCCTTTCGGTGTCAAGACTACTTTTTTTCTTGCGACATTTGTAGAATATTACTAACACACACACAGTAATTGCAAGAATACCTCCAGAAATTGGAAGTGCTATCAAGAGATTCTTGTCACTTTGTGTTGTAGGTGTTATAGTTGCCACTGGAGTGCTAGGAGGAGTGCTTTGAGATGGACCTGTCCAAAAAAAGTGATTTCCTTTAATCTATGGAAAAACGGGTTGCAAAAAAGTGCAACTTAAAAAAAAAAAAAAAAAAAAAAAAAAAACAACAACAATAACTACAAATTTATTTGTACCCAACAATAATTTACATAATACAAAGAAAAGTAATAGATATAATATGGAGAGAGTACAGGCTTCCCAAAAGAACCATTGAGGGCTAAAAAAGATAGGGCAGCATTACTTAGGTTATAAATAGAAGTTTAAATCAAAGGGTCAGGTACCACACGCCACACACACCTACTCAAAACTCAGTAGAAAAAGGAAGAGAGCAAAAGAAAGCTAAGTATGCCAGTATTAAACAACGGAAAGCCAGAAAAACATATAGAGTTGATAAATCTGCAATTAATATTTATCAACATAAGAATTGACTTTAGCTTTTTCTTAAAACGTTTGAGAGAAACGTATTTGTGTCTCACAAGGATAAAGACTGCCTTACTAATATACTGAACGCTGAACTAAATAAGTTGTCAATATGGTTTAGAGCTAACAGGCTTTCATTAAACTTGAAAAAAACCAAATTCATTGCATTTAAACCATCCCAAAAGCGTACAAATCAAACTATTCAACTTTTAATTAATAGTCAAAAAATTGATCAAGTAAAAGAAACAGTTTTCCTGGGAGTAATCATGGACGAAAATTTAAATTGGAAATCTGAAATCTCACATGTCGCCAATAAAGTTTCTAAATGCACAGGAATTATTCGTAAATCCAGTTTCTATTTATCCACGAAAACCTTACGAACACTATATTTTTCTCTAGTCTATCCATACCTTTTTTACTGCAACTTAGTTTGGGCCTCTACTTACAGAACTAACCTTATTCGTCTTGAGATTTTACAGAAACGAGTGATCAGAACTATAGCTAAAACCACTTTCGATGCACATACTGATCCAATCTTTCAAAATCTTGGTATCTTAAAATTTCATGATATATACTTAATACAACTAGGCTTATTCATGTACTCCTATCAAAACCATACTCTACCTTTAAAATTTCATTGTAAATTTACCTTACAAAGTCAAATTCATTCGTATAATACAAGAAACTCGTGTAAATTTCGTCTGCCTTTCTGTCGTACTCGAACCAAGCAATTTTCCGTTTTTTATCAAGGACCTAAATTTTACAACACCTTAAACACCAACATCATCAACGCTTCCTCACCTTTCTCCTTTAAAAGAGCACTTAAGGCATTTATTTGTAATAATTATTAGTATACTCCAACAAAAATCTTGGGAAAAAGCCTTTTAATATTCAACATTTGTACATGTAAACTTCCGTAATATTGATTAGTTTAATTTTTCACCTGATATTATACTGTACCCGTCGCCGTAATTTTTATGCCATCTTCGAAAAATTGTAATTGAGGAGGCCTAATTAACATAAGCTCTATAGTTTCTTTTAGGCCTCCTCGCCATCTCTTCCTACATTTTTTTTTTTTTTTTCTTTTGGCATCTTTAAGTAATGTAATTGTGTGGCAAATAAATAAAAACACCTAGAGAAGGGAGCTTGATGTCATCACTTATATCATTCCAAACTTTAGCACCCTATGGAACCCTATGTTAAAAGTTCCATAATTTGCTCTGGCTTTTGGGATGGCATTAATCATCCTGGAGGACAACCTAGTTTTATATCTATGTATGTTCCTAGTAGGATTGACAAAAGGACCAAAAATGAAACACTGCAAGTTGGAGGGTAATGATATCAGACAGCTTGATAACATTCAAGTCTTTAAACAAAGGACTTGAGTGTTCAGTGATGGAGTAACTTACGGTTCGGATTTAACCACCAACTCACACCATTGATGCTTTTGCACACATGTGTATTCAATCATCATAACGGTCAGAGCGCATGCTCAATAATACAAACATGGGGGTTGGGGACGGTAGACCTAAATATTTACATGTACAGCAAGTGAAACTGGAGAAGGTGATTATTCTGATAGCTTTCTTTTGTAAGGTTGTCTTGCTTTGCAACATTACTGCCAGACGAGTTGAAAAGCTATGTTGCGCATTTTACCACTCCCACGTTCAAGCAGCTGTCTTGCAGCAATTCAGGTTGTTGCAAGTTGCGCGAATACTGGTTTTTGATTGGTTAAGAGTATCCTGGAGTCATACTAAACACAGACTGACGTCACCAGAGGACGCCACTTGCTACAAACCAAGTTTGTCTTTTTCCGGTAAAGCACCCAACATATTCAGATTTTGTTCCAAAAAGTAGAACTTCTTACTATTTTCTGCAACAACTTTTCGCGATTTGCAACAGTCTGATATGTTCCAAAAAGGTTTGATTTGTGTGGTTAAACGCGCAACATAGTTCTTCAATTCGTCTTGCCGCAATGTTGCAAAAAAGTTACATGTTTTTGTTTCCCGTTTTACCCTACCTCTAAGAAGTGCATCTTATTGCAAAAGTTTTGGCTGGTTTTGGAATGACCAGCAATAGACGATCTTCCTCATTATGGCTATTGAAATTTTAAAGAAACACAGGGAAAATTGCGTTTCTTATATTTATCTCTAAAAACTACCAAATTTCTTTTGAAATTATTAGCCTTTGCTAAGGTCTACATTTCGCACACTAAAGGGGTCAGATAGAGCTCTCGCGTTTGAAAACATAGGCTCCGTTCTAAGTTTAAACCCGAGTCTCGCTGTCCTTACTACAAGTTGCAAAACGTATGCACAGATAAAATGAAGAAAAGAAACTGTGCTGAAGAATTCCAATTTTGCCCTCCCCCCGACTAGGAAAGCTTCATATGAATTACTTCCTATGGCTGGAATAATTTGAATTCTAATTCTTAAGATCTGGTCACTTTTACTTTTGCAGGTCCTTGCGTGTCTTCTCCCTTTAAGAAAAAGGTACACCGAGTGAAACAAACTATAAAAAAATTAAAATTATCTCGCTTGGAAATAAATGTCCTTCTGGTACACAGCTTTAACACAGAGGTACCTGATTCTTCGACTGGTTGGATATAACCAGCATCGACGGTAATTTCTTCCATGAAGTTAATATTAGATTCTTGTCTTCTTTTCTTTTTCTCTTTTCAGTAAGTACTAGTCCTCTCTGGGAACAATCTGTTTTAATTTCTGCTAATATACAGGGGATCTTTTCCAACCCCGACTTTTTCTGGACGTAGAATGATAAACTGATTGTTGTCACACCGGCTGAACAATTTTTATAAAAATCCGTGGCAAGAGTGCCAAGAGTGGTAAATATCGCAATATTTTTCTACCGTATCTGTTTTATTTGACAAACACAGGTTGCCACAATCGCAGCGTACACATTCTATTTTCAGAGTCGGCTTGGACGTGGTATATCTAGATATCTACCGTTCTAGGCCGGTCTGTCTTTATAGCGAACAAACAGGGCATTATATGGTGACGTATACGCTCGGATATTGTGATGCATTATCTAGAGACAGGTTTACAGATAAGGTTTGTCGTCCGACTTTGAAAAGAAAATATGTGGAAGTATTAAAAACCTATTTAGCTTACCATTCGAACCTCGCTCATCAATATTTTATTACGAAACTAAATGTAACGACGAGTCTCGCTGTCCTTACTACAAGTTGCAAAACGTATGCACAGATAAAATGAAGAAAAGAAACTGTGCTGAAGAATTCCAATTTTGCCCTCCCCCCTACCAGGAAAGCTTCATATGAATTACTTCCTATGGCTGGAATAATTTGAATTCTAATTCTTAAGATCTGGTCACTTTTAAAATATTGATGAGCGAGGTTCGAATGGTAAGCTAAATAGGTTTTTAATACTTCCACATATTTTCTTTTCAAAGTCGGACGGCAAGCCTTATCTGTAAACCTGTCTCTAGATAATGCATTACAATGTAACAGAAAACGATGACAAGGGCCACACAATAGAGCAAGGCTAAGTTTATTAACTTAAACGGAAGCTTCGCTTTTAGGCCTGGCTAAATCTATATATTTACATCTGTGTCTTTAAGAAAGGATCATTTTCTTTCAAACCTAAACAAAAGTAAGAACGTTAGCAGAGCAATTAACTTACTGCTAGTTGGTATTTCCTCTGGACAACCATTTGGACAAGCGCACTTATGGCTTAAAGTGAATACCTGAAAAATAAAGCGAAACAAATGCTATTGAAGTCCTGATGGTTAAACCACAGAGCATTTTTTTCGACCTTTATAGTACATTAATTATTAATAAAAAAATTATTTTGAAATACTTACGTAATTAGTAGTATTATCCTGAAGTACTTCGAATTTAGCATCATCAGGTTTATCCAGCGAAGGATTGCACTCTAACATGATTGTGGCCTTCCAGTCTGGATTTCTTAAATAGAAAACGAACTCATTTTTACTTGGCTCAACTCTATGGTTATTGTCACTACAATCAAAACTAAGGCAGTATTATAATTTTTGTTGCTATACTGCACCCCCATGGAACACGAGATGGATACGGGAAATAATGTTTTCTAGCTTGGCGCGAAATGCCGCGATTAAGCCAGCAAACCCTGGAAAACGCCATATTCCTCCCAATCCCAGATGCTCAATCCTACGGAAGATCAAGAAAAACCGAGGGATACCCCTCAAGATAATGACGAGCACGGAATCCGACCACCAGTGATTCTGATCGAGAAATACAGTCCTCCCCTATACCAGAGCCTTGGGACTTGAGAAAGTCAAGTCTGGCTAAAGCATGAATGAATGAATGAATGTAAACATGAATGTTAAGTCTGCCCAATGTCTAAAACATTACCTAACCAATAAACATGATTTTATATAGAAGGAGAAGAGCCTGCTAGGCAATACAATACATTTTATTAATTTTCTCAATTGGGTTTTTCAGAATTAATTAATTAAAGACTCATTAGGCTAAGTAATGTACGAAATAACTAAAAACTGCATTTATAATTTACAACTGAATTTGAATGCTCGAACTACAATTATAAAATTGAAAGCTAATAAACAATTAATTAAAATAGACCAACAGTGTACGAGTAAATGCTTTACTTCCGCACTCCGGCACTCCTTTTAAAAACCTGAACAGAGGCAGAGTTTCTTATGTCATTTGAAATACTTTTCCAATATTTTATTTTAGAAGCCCTGAAGCGGAAGGCACGCTGCGCAACGGAGGTTCGGCACTGAGGGTGGTTAAGTTGATTGCTCTGTCCAGTGCAATTCGAGTGAGTTTCTGAGCGTTTTATAAGCTTTGAACTTTAACGTTTCATTCACGCTTAATTCAGACACAGTCCAGCTGACAGTCCGCGAAAGGAAAAAAAGCTGCATTAAATTAACCTTGCAAAATTATGACTGACAATCAAAACATGAATAAAACTTCAATGAAAGATGTACAACAACATTTTTATCAGACAGCAAGTCTGAGGGTGACTGAAATGTTTCCGTAAACCTTGATTTCTTTGTACTGTGTTTGTTTGTTCGTTTGTTTTAGCCGGCTTTTTGCGTTTAAAAGAGGTCTATGAACGAGTCTCCAAGCAAGATTTTCGCTAATTATCGTTATTTTTTTACCGGCAACCATTACAACTGGGTATTCTCTAAGACCTTTCTCTTTCCATTTGCAACCAAAAAATAAATTTAAGCTTGTGTGAGGCCATTGAAGTCGGTCTCAAATCTTTTCAAATCTTTAATACGGCATGTTATGACATGAAATAATTACGCCTGACTTAGCTTTACAAAACTAAAACGGGGAAAAAACTGTAATAATTACTCAGGCTAACCTTGTATGTACCTCCTGAAAGGGATTAAGTGACAGAGGTAAAAAATTTTCCTCCACTCTGTTGTAAAATCCTGCATGCTCAACTTTCACTTTCTTTGAAATCCCTTTGCGAAGCCTTCCTCAAGCCAAACCAAATAAAAACTACAGGTTCGAGTAACAGAGGAATCTTGATAGCAGCTGTATTTCCTTTTTTTGCGGCCCGTGGAAGAACACGAAAACTAAAACTGTGAAATG